GCCGCCTGATCTACTGGGGGATGTCCCTGCCCATGGCAGGGGGTTGGAATGAGATGATCTTTAAGGTCTCTTCCAACTCTGACAATTCCATGGTTCTATGATCACACATTTATATGAGGCTGTGTCCACGGCTTTTATTGGCAAGGAGAGCTGGTTCTGGGATACATCTCTCAAGGTGACCTCTCTTGTGAAGGACGCGGCAGGCATTATGTTCTTCCATGGACAGAACCATTGCCTTCAACCTTTCTTCCAAGACAGCAATGTTACCGGTCACAGATTCCCTGGAGACACTATAGGTGATCTTAGGAAACTAGATATTTAAGGCCAAAGAGTAAATCACAACCTTAACTACGGAGAGGACAGATAATAGCAGTCATTTACAATATCTGCTTGGGGAAGTCCCTGACATGTTGACACCTAGAATAAAGAAGGATGGTAACAGAAGAAATAAAGAACTATTTGCTTTGTGTTTTTATCCTTTGCAAAACATCTGACACTGGCCTGACAAGCAGTCTACTGTGTGGAATGGCTCTTAGATTACCTACTGCAGTAATTCTTCCACAGAGCCAGATACGGCAGTCTGGGCAAAGTTTGGTGATAACTGACTTCTCATGCATCTCTAAGTCCTGTATAAAACACCAAGGGCATTGTGTGCATGCACACAAGAGTATGGATGCATTTGCATCCTGTGGCCAGTGCATGCCTGGCTCTTTGGGCTTGTGTCTTTCATAATCTTGATTGTGCCAATCACGGCCCTCGAAGACTTATGTAACCCTCGATCTGTGGCACAGGTCTTATTGTGGGTGCTGGCCATCAGGGGTCTTTTGGATGGTTCTGTGTCCCTTCCCCAGATAAGCTCTGTATGACCTTTCATGCTTGGTCTTTCATAACGCAGCACTGCACACCCTCCAGCTGCCCCTGGGGTCCTGTATGATGTTTCGTGCTTGGAATATAAGAACATAGACCTCTACACACTCTTACACATTCCCTTTGTCCTGTTAGGCAGCCTCTCATTTGCAGCACAGATCCACTGCACTGAACACCTGCCCACCTGTCATCCAGTTTAGAGTTGCTACACAGAACTTGTTTTGCAACAATGGTTGAGACGTTAACATGCATTAACATTTTCAGTATCTCAGTACATGACTTCTACTTCACAAAGCCAAATATGTCAAGGAGGAGTGTCAGGAGGATGGAGCCAGGCTCTTTTCAGCGATGTCCAAGGACAGGATAAGGGGCAATGGGTACAAGCGGGAACATAGGAGATTCCACAAAAATACAAGAAAAGCTTTTTCACTGTGAGGGTGGCAGAGCCCTGGCACAGGCTGCCCAGGGAGGGTGTGGAGTCTCCTTCTCTGGAGACGTTCAAAACCCGCCTGGATGGGTTCCTGTGTGACCTGCTGTAGGTGATCCTGCTCTGGCAGGGGGGCTGGACTAGATGATCTTTTGAGGTCCCTTCCAATTCCTAACAGTCTGTGATTCTGTGACTCTGTGAAAGCCATGCTGGCTGTCTTTGAGAAAGGAAGGGGAGGAGGTTCTCCAGACACCAGAGCAGGGATTTTCCTGCAGCCTGTGGTGAAGACTATGGTGACACAGAGTGTCACCGTGCAGCCCATGGTGGAGCAGATAACCTCCCTGCACCCCACAGAAGACCTCACGTTACAGCAGGTGGATGTGACCTGAAGGAAGCTGTCGCTCTGTGGAGACATCACGCTGCAGCAGGATCCTGGCAGGAGCAGTGGTTCTTTGGAGAGAAGCTTACGCCAGGGCAGGTTTTCTGGCAAGATCTGTGCCTTGCAGGGAACCCGCACTGGAGCCATCCATTCCTGAAGGACTGTGCCCTGTGGAAAGAACCCATGCTAGAGCAATTGGTGGAGAATTGCAGCACATGAACAGTCTCCCATAGGTGGGACTCTACATTGCATCAGGGGAAGCGTATGAGATGGAAGGAGGGAAAGAAAACAAAACATGTTCAGAACTGACTGCAAGCCCCATGCCCTGTTGCTGTATACCACTCACTGGGAGTAGGTAGAGAAGTCAGGGGTGAAATTGAGCCCAGGAAGAAGGGAGGCCTGATGGGAAGGTGTTTTCAGACTTCTTGTTATTTGTCATTATCATATTCTGAGTAGATTGGCAATAAAGTAAATTAATTTCCTATGTTTACTTAACTATGATTGCTCTGTGACCATAATTACTGGATTATCTCCCTGTCCTTATCTTGACCTATGACCATTTCACTATATTTTTGTACCCATTCAACTAAGGAAGGGGATTGGCAGAGGGGTTTGGTAGTCACTCACCAAAACAAGACACCTTGTCTAGTTCTTCCTGATTAGGTCATCTATACTATCACCCACCACAATGTAACCATACTGATCTGTCTTTCATAAAACAGGCTGGATCCATCCAGCACAGTACTCCTGGAAGCCACTACACTGCATCTCCAGCATCCCACAGCTCAAACTAAACCATAAAGGAAAAAGTGGGCCCTGTTGGACAGCAGCCCAGGCAATGTGTCAGAATCTGGACTTCAAGAGACAGCCTCTCAAGGTCTCAGTGCATCATGAATGGGATCAGCCCTTCAAACGCACTTCCTGTCACTCTCTTCCTGCTGCAAGAACACTAAAGGTCTGTTGCCTGCACCTGCCCTTCTGTGACATCAACCTCTGATCAGCAGCTTCTAGGAAGACGCGTGGAGAAATGCTGAAATTCTCTGTCGGGTGGTTTTTGGTCCATTCTGCTGCACAGCTGCTCCAAGGTGAGACTAGCACCACAGTAATACACTGCTTCATCCCCTGGCTTTGCTGCCTGGATCTGCAGGGTGAATCTGTTCTGGGAGCTCTCTTCTAATTGTTCAAATCGATCCTGGAAATCTGCACCAGAGCCATCATACACCCGATAAACCAGTTCCAGAGTGCGCTGTGGCCCCTGTCGGTACCAATACATGTAGTAGCTGCTCATACTGTCTCCACTCATGCTGCACTGGAAGGTGACTCCTTCTCCCTCTCGCACGGCCACTTGCCTGGCGTGTTGCTCCAAGGTCACCTGGCCAGCGACTGCTGCAGCGAGCAAGAACAAGCGATCATCACTCCAAGATTCTGCAAAGGGTGCCCTGAAACAATACTGGGGGTACTGTGATAGCACTGGACTACTGGGAGTACAAAATCATTCTCTTTGAACCCAAACGACCAAGATGGGCAAAGTAGTAGAGCTGGCACCAGGAATCAGGCCTCACAAAGAACAAGACACCACATTTCCCTTCCTTTCCCTTTTTCAGATTCTTCCGTTCCAAGCAGGAAGAATTTGCATCCCGGGGGACAAATGCCTTTTTTCTGCCAAGCTGGGATACTGGAAAACCCAACATCCCCTCCCTGAAACTGTTCTGAAGGAGCACACAGCACAGACAAGGATCTTGCACAGGCAAGTGGGCCTTGGCCCCTATGCTGCCATCTAAAAATCTCATCCTTGAATGACAAAGTGCAGTGCCCCATGAACAGATTGTCCAGCCCAAGGGCAAAGACTTAGGCCCCGAGATG